GAAGATTCGAACTTGAAATCTCTTTCAATATTGAAAAGGAAAAATACCACAACAAGCCTAAAAAAACTAAAATAATACTTCATGTAAGTCTATTGTCATTTCATACCTAAGCTTAATTTTTATTAGTAATATGAAATAAGAATAAAAAGACAAGAGACTCTTAAGATCTAGCAATGTGTTGAAAAGGAAGGACATCTGACATATTTTTTTTTTCTTTTTATTACATAGATTTTTATTTCCTAATATCCAATTTGTTTTTGTTAAAAGAGTATTAGTAAATCACGACGGATTATTACATTCTTTTTGTACTTTTCTGCCTAATCATTTGACTCGTTAGAATTTGAAATTGACCAAATCCACACTCTAGCTTTTTCATGTGATTGAATTTCTTTCCAAGTATGTTTATGTAACTCTTACTCTTCTCAATATCTCCCATAATCTCAAACTACGGTAACCTAATCAAAGCGTTGCAAAACTGTAATTCTATCTAATACATCTCTCCTCCCTCTTCGTACGTGTCAGCACCTATTCGCACGTGTCCCCCCAAGCCTCCAAACTCTTCAAATACAGGCACAACTCACACATTCAACCCAACACTCTCTAAAGTCCAACCCCCTAACTCTCTCTTTCTCTCTGAGAAACAGCCATGGCTGGAGTCAGTAAGGTTGCTCCCACACCTCTGCTCAAAGATGAGCTTGACATTGTTATTCCCACAATCCGAAACCTGGACTTCTTGGAGATGTGGAGGCCATTTTTTGAACAATACCACCTTATCATCGTCCAAGATGGTGACCCTTCAAAGGTCATCAAGGTCCCAGAGGGCTTTGACTACGAGCTCTACAACCGCAATGACATTAACCGCATCCTGGGTCCTAAGGCCTCTTGTATTTCCTTCAAGGACTCTGCTTGCCGCTGCTTCGGCTACATGGTCTCCAAGAAGAAGTACATCTTCACCATCGACGACGATTGCTTTGTAAGTATCTATTTCAACACCTCGATCTCTTGTTTGGGAGTTTTTCGGATTTGGGTTTCGAGTTTTTGGTTCAAAAGCATGGATCTTGATGGGTTTTGGCTGTGGATTTGGGGGTTTTGCTGGCTTAGTAAAGTTTTATTTTTCAGTTCGATGTTGATTTGACTCTATATGATTGCTCGATACTTAAATTATGTTGCTTTTGTTGTTTAGATCTGTTTCTGCTGTCTCTGTTTGACTTCTGTGGGTCGTCTATTTTGTCAATTTAACTTCGTTTCCTGTTGTCAATGGACATTGCATGCTTTGATCTATGTTTCTTATGATGCATATGTTATTATTTTAAATACTTTTGGGTTGATCTGTTTCTTGGCAGAAGCCAGAATCTCTGTACCATGTGTTCTTTCAGTTAGTGTAGAGAAGGGGTTTACCAAATTCACAGATCTCTCCTTTGCACTGTAATTGGATCACTTTCAGATTCACACTTGAAGAGTTTCAGTCCATAAATTTTGATTAAGATATACGTGCTGAATTTCAATTTCATTTATCTATGCTTTGAATCGTTGTGAAAATAGCATGTTATGGTGGCCCCATTGTGTTTCAGATTTCATTGATATCCCTCCAATTCTTGTGAAACCAAGGTGTTATAACTAATCATGGTTCTTTTTTATGAAAATGCAGGTTGCTAAAGATCCTTCTGGCAAAGATATCAATGCTCTTGAGCAGCATATTAAGAACCTTCTGACTCCATCAACTCCATTTTTCTTTAACACCTTGTATGACCCTTACCGTGAAGGTGCAGACTTTGTCCGTGGTTACCCCTTCAGTCTACGTGAAGGTATCCCAACTGCTGTTTCTCATGGCCTCTGGCTCAACATTCCGGATTATGATGCACCCACCCAGCTTGTTAAGCCTCTAGAGAGAAACACTAGGTACATTGGTCTGCCATTTTCAATCCTTCAGAAATTTTGCATTCGAGTGTTTAATAGACTTGCTGACTATAATGCCATGTTTCTAGGTTTGTGGATGCAGTCCTGACCATCCCCAAGGGAACTCTCTTTCCCATGTGTGGTATGAATCTGGCATTCAACCGTGAATTGATTGGACCTGCTATGTACTTTGGACTCATGGGTGATGGTCAGCCAATCGGGCGTTACGACGATATGTGGGCTGGCTGGTGCATGAAGGTATCTCTCAAAATATCTTTAGAGCCTGTACATTTCTATTGTCTTTTGTTAGTGCATTTCATTGGTTTTGCAATCAATTCACACTGCCTTGTGTTTTCAAATTTTAATGGCTCACGAGTTGTCATTGTTGGTTTTGTAGGTCATATGTGACCATTTGGGGCTGGGAGTGAAGACAGGATTGCCCTACATCTGGCATAGCAAAGCAAGCAATCCATTTGTGAACCTTAAGAAGGAATACAAAGGAATATACTGGCAAGAAGAGTTGATCCCATTCTTCCAATCTGCTACCCTTCCAAAGGATTGCACCACCGTTCAGAACTGCTACATTGAGCTCTCCAAGCAAGTGAAGGCAAAGCTTGGCAAGGTTGATGACTACTTCCTCAAGCTTGCAGATGCCATGGTCACATGGGTTGAAGCATGGGACGAGTTGAACCCATCTGGAGAAAAAGCTGTTGAGCAGAACGGAGTTGTTGTTGCGAAATAGATTGATCTTTGGTTGCCATTATCATTAATCTTTCGATAGTCGGTGTCAGTGATAGGCCTTGTTTGTAATCTGATCTTCCCTTTTATCCGAGCTTTTGGTTTTGGAGCTAGGAGTTATTTATTTGGCAGGTCGGAGAAGATATTTTCTTATTAATTTATATATCAGCAGTACTATGAGCTTAGAACAATAATGATGACGGTTATGTATTTCTATATGCATTCAAAGTGTTAGCTATTTATTCGATTCAACAATGGCTCAGTTACAGTTTTGTTTGTTATAGTGTTTGCTTTCCTTCTTCTCTTCGATCTAGTGTTTTTGTTTCTTTCTTTTGCCGACTTTCAGAGCATCTTTTGCTGGCATCGCAGATTTCAAAATGGAAGCTTATATTGTAGTGTATACTGTGCCAAAGATGAGTTGGCATTTGGCACTGCCCGTCTTCAACAATCAATTTTGCGCAATTTCATTTAGAAAAGGTTAGAAAATAAGGCCGTTTGAGTCTTTTGTACACGGGTCAATATCAAGTACGGAATTCGATAAGCAAATGGAGGTGTTTTCAAAGTGAAGTTTGAACTTTGGGTTTTGCACTACGCGTGACTTTCGTTACTGTGGGCTGCAATACCCTTTGCATATAACGGGAATAGCATTGTATTCTCATTCAGTCACGCTCTGCCTTGTTATCTTCGCGGTATACAAATTTTCCTGGTTGAGCACCACCGTGATTGTATTTGCCGTGAAAAATATGTTTGAAATTGCAGCAAGCAAGGATTCCAAGAAATAAGGTAGAACAGTTTGTTTCGAAGAAGAATTTTTAGACTTGTTTTTTAACTTAGGCTCAGTCTGTCACAAAGGGGCCCCTTGTGAATCAAATGTCTTGATTGATATCAATGTTAAATCAAATTGTGGATATTCTCTCGATAACTTTTGGCTAAAAGGTCTTAATTTCCTTACATCTCTCACACGAGTTAGGTCCCACAAACGAGAGAATTGGGGAAAATATTTGAATGTTAAAGCATTGGGTTTGCTTGCTAATAATTAAAGCTCTTTGCTCCTGTTTTGAGCTTTTGATGTGCATGTTCGTTCCACTTGCTCAACATGGAAGAAAATAAACATATTTTCTAGCAAGTGATTGCGTTCAAAACATGCTTTCTGAACCACAAAGTTATTTGCAAATTTGAATTTGTGATAATAGATGGATCCAACCAAATCAGCTGGAGGAAGTTGCCCCGCAAATGCAGACACATGATTTAATATTGGGTTTGGCAGGACCAACATCGCTTTCATTTCACGTAGGTCATGCGGTCAAGTTTATCCAACCCACAAAATGACTAAAAATCGAAATCAAAGTTAATTGGTAGACCAACTAGAGTTATTTCAAATATAATTAGTATAGTTGAGTGAATGTCACCCTGACGAAAAAAGGAAGGCATATCAGAAAGCATATCACATGCACTTCCTCATTGCCAGATTTGTGAGCAAATCAACGCAGTTCCTACGTTACTTTCCTTTGACAATATTCACAACAATGCAGGCGCCCAGGCTGCCATTAACTGTGTCCTAGTTTATTAAAAATGATTGCCAGATTGTACTCTGAGTAGTAATTTTTCTCAATCCATCTATTTTGTTTGTTTATCTGGTTTTAGTGCTGGTATTCGGTGTTGACTGCAATCTTGCCCTTCTATCATGCAGATTCAGGCATTTTGTCAAGTACCATTATGTCCAGGCGCGGTTGAACAATGTTTGGTTCGATCGATGTAGTTTACTATCCGATACGTATAGTGATAACAAATTTCATCAGTAGGATCAAGTGATTCTTTATAAAAGCTAGCAAAGATTGCATGCCGTACAATCATCATTTTGTGTACCAACTGTATGTTCATTATAAAGCAATTATCCTTCTTTCTTTTCTTTGGTGGAACTGAAAGCAAACTTACCCCTTCCTTGTACTGCTTGCAAGCTCACATTTAAGCGACCTTTTCAAGTATGCTAGCTTAATTAGAGAAGATTTTAAGTTATAGATAGTCATTTAAGATGGTTTTGTGATCTAGCCATATGACTTCATGTAGCAAAATTACACACTTGATAGGGATAGTAAAGAACTTTCATTTCCAAATGGTCTGCAGAAAGGTAAGAAACAGAACTTTATTCCCAAGATGTTTGCTTCAAAGCAGAACTGATCAATGACGTTTCTTGAGAATGCAGAGAACAAAGAGAACCTACGAGGTTAGACGATTATTTGAGTACATAGACAATAGAACACTTGTATAATTTGGGAGCGGATCTTATATCTGACTGCCCAATACTAAAAACTAGTTAGCAGCAGGTTAAATCGTATACTAAAAGTTTCTAGCTTCTTCTTGCATGCTACTATCAATGTCTCTCAAGGAGATCCATGGTAGCTTTGTTCCCAAGTGCCACATGCTTTTGCACCTTGTTTCCTGTCTCATTACAGACCGAATATTTTACTTTCTGATATAAAAGGAAGTACAAGATAGTAATATTATGTCTTCAAAACAGCAATTGGATTGAGCACGCAGCTTAAGAAAATTACAACTTGATTCAGACAAATTCATTGTTCAATGTGGCCTATAAGCAATAATATAAATCATACATTTTTTTATATGGCATGGTGCTGATTTGTATGGAGGTTAACATCTAGGCCAGGAGGATACTAATTTTTTCCTTCTGAAAGTTATCGTGGCAAAATTTAAATTTACTAAGGTACACATTGGCTTACCTAATTTGCAGATCACTTAAGTGATTCTGAGGCAGCAGAAAGCATCACTTTCCTGCTTCACCTGCATGGATTGCCGTTGATCCTCTACTCGTAGGAGCTGTGAGGAAAGCTGAAGCAAGTCGATAGTGGTCCCATCTTCGCAGGATAGACGGTCTTTGGCATTCAAGAAATCTGATCCTTGGAAAATCTCATCTGAGATTCCAAAATGATCAGTATCACTGCCATTAGATAGAAGTATGGGACCCAGGTGAGTCCCAGCTCCAGAATTCATTCCTGAAGAAGGGAATTTATTTGACACCCCACTTGAGGAGGCATGTGAGCATCCCCCAATAAGATTTTCAGAACCTTGAACCGGCCTGTAATTGGTATGGCTGACCGGCATGACCAGGGGACGAGCCATGGGAATTCCTGACAAATGGCTTGAAGATTTCTGTGACTGAGATGACAGAAGAGAGAGAGCACAACCAGAGTCTGAAATTCCCGATAATCCATGTACAGTTGAAGCAGTGTTGAACACATTGAAGTCTTCACTTCCTAATGTGGTGGTCTCATGAAACATAGAGTGTGAACCATAATTTAGGCCTCTCATATCATGTGAATATTGATTGCCATTCTCAATGATTATGTTTCCAGTTAGAGGATTAGTTCCATTGTCATGAAATGGGGGATACCATTTTCCAATATCATAAGAAGGAAAGACTGGTTTCGAAGGTAGATGCCCATTTGTAACAGGAACCCCTGACAAAGGCCTATAATGAGTCCCATCTTCAACTTTTATATGCCTGCACCAGTCACTTGTTCCATAATTTTCAGCATCCAAAATTCCACTGGGGAGTATCTCTTGGCAGATAAAAGATGCAGTTGTTAACATATTATCCTGAAATCTGCTGCCTGTAAACCGTGCAGACAGTTCGAAAGAAGATTAAAAATCTAAACGACTCAAAGCAGTAGTGATAGAATGATGAGTCAGTAATTAGCCACTTGGAGAAGTACAAATTATACAGGACAATCCTCAGACTACACAACTTATTATCGTCATTACATGCAAACTGGATGAGCTCTGAAGGAATTCTACAGATCATGACAAAACATATGATATGATCATACATAGTAAATGACTCTTATTAAGGCAGTTTTCTATGATAGTGACATTCAGGGAGCTTGACTTACTTAAAGATACAATTTTATTTATTTGTATTTTGGATGTATTTCGATCATAAATTTGACCCACTCTCACTGGGAGAAGCTTTCAGCTCAATGTTGCAACCGCAATATGCAGCCAGTTGACACGTGATGTTTTATGTTCCTCCATTAGTAGCACTTGTTTTGAGACACAGCAGTGGCTCAATTAAGCCAAACATAAGGGAGACAGGGCCAAAAACTTTAGATAACTTTCATGGATAAAATGCTGGATAATATATAAAGGACATTTGGAGGCCTTCTAGTTTATTCCACAGAATCCACTAAGGTTCCGCTGACCAAAGAAAAGTTAAACATTTCAATGTAATTCAAAGTTCAGGGCTGCACAAGAGATCACAGTATGGTTGCATGCAGTTAAGGAGAGAAAGGGGGACCATGAAATCGTAAGGATGACAGAAAACTAGAGACAAAATTTATTAATACCATTATACGACTGAAGCAACCTACCAGCTCTTCCAGAGTGAATCCCCACTTGAGGCTTTCTCCGACGCTCATTGTGTCCTGCAAGGCGTTTACGACAGCTACGCTTACCATCATCAAACTCAGTCAGCAAATGAAACCTGGATGGTCAAAAGTACAGCAACAACAAGAATCATGACACTTTGCATATTAGCTCAGCTGGTTTGATTCAAAATCCTAAATGAGCTAAACTCAAGAATACAATAGATTTAGAATGAATCTATTTCTGAGCAACCAAACAAATTGAATTCAATCAAGAAGATGAAACAGAACCAACCTACTACATTGCTGACAAAACCTCTGTTCTATGCCATTCACAATAACTTTGGCCGTCTTTGAGTGAGCCTCACAAACTTTATGCCTCTTGTGGTAGTCCTTAGAGGAGCTGAGATCCTTGTTGCAACCATAAACCTGGCAGTAGGCGGTCTGAGAATACAATCCTGACACCCGCATTCGCTTTGGAGGTGTCGATGATTCGGATGAAGACAATACGGGATGTCCTTTAGAAAATTTAGAATCACGGAAATCTCTGTTATCAGCCAACCTCCCTAGTTTTAAATCAATGAGTGAAGAATCCCTACTGTTAGAGTCCACAATAGAGCTTGAAAGCTTTGAAGATGATTCATCTTCTCCTGAAAAAAAATTTGGGGTAGCCATACTTGTTGTATTAGTACTTCTTTCACCATAAACCCTGCCACTCAATACATCTCTAATTGGATTATTTGAGAAATGTTTGCCCATCATTTCTGGAAAACCCAACTCCCCAAAACCTTGACTTTCAATAGCTTGCTGGCCTGACACTAAAACATTGCTGCCAAAAGTACAGGGGATTTTCAACTCCCAACCCATCAAAGCATTTCTACTTCTAGAAAATGAATCAGTGTGTGAAATTGTTTCATCTGAAACAAACCCCTTCCCTTCAGAAATACGGCTCCAAGACTCCATTACAAGTAAAAGGATCACAACTAAAGCCCACTTCAATTCATGGGGAAAACTATCAGGCACTTGTAGCCAAGGATCAAGCTGATTGTTTATAGTTCCAAAAGCTCAATGAGCTCAAAGCTATATATAGGTCATTACTGGAGAATCATCATTAGCTCTGTACACAAACCACAAAAAGCCCATTTTTAGACAAAGAAAAAAAAAAAGAAACTGCAGAACGTTTCTTCCTTGAAGCTCCAAATTCGTGGGAAAATCAGTTTCTGGGAAACCAAACAGAGCAAAAAGGAAAACCCATCGGGATAGTACCAAGAAAAATATAACCAATCTGCAAAAAAATGTCTGAAGCCTGAACCCCCACGTGAATTCAATCAAGACAATTGAAGGAACAAGTAAAAAAGCTAAACATGTTCAATGTATAAAGCAAAGACTGAATGAGTGGAAAACAGGAGCCAAAAACAGAGTTTCAGGTACTTGATGGAAAAACTATTCAGCAGCTGAAAGAAAGGAAAACCAAAAGTTGCCCAAAAGAGATACAGACAGAGAGAGAGTGTGTGTTCACTTTACCAGTGTAAAGGTAGATAGTAGGTATAGTGTGGCATTATGGGGGTTGAGGCAGACAGCTAAATTTGGAAGAGAATTCAGTAAATTCTAAACTCCATGGAAGAGCTTGTAGTTGCTAACTTGCTATTTTGAGAGAGAGAGAGAGAGAGAGAGAGAGAGGG